TTGAGATAAACAGCTTACTGGTACTTCAAACTAAACCTGCCAGGTATCTGCAGGCATTTGAGAATGTACTTTCCTTTTAATTCACTATAAGACCTCGCTTTTCTAGATTCTAGATGGTTCTGTAAAGAGCACAGAATCTCACAACGGTGAAAGTTGTAAACCACAGATCAATTTCAGGGCCCTGGTGATGCCTTGTTCTTGATGCAGTGAGTGTTGCTTCTTATGCAAACTCTGCTCACGGCCTGTTACATGATTTTACAGATCTATCAAATTCTGTGACTTATTTCTGTTTCTAAGAAAGTACTAAAAGATAACACATGAGGAAAAAAATAAAAATAGAGTAAAATTTGTGGCTTGGTATAATTTTAGAAACAGTATTGATTGGTAAGCGTTCCTGTGTCCAAACTGATAACAATCTAGAGACATCTGTCCGAGAGCAGATAACTCTGAGCACTTAATCCATGCGAGTGTGTAGAAGTGTCTCTTTCTAAACTAAATGTATGTTATTTCAAAATAGCAAACGAGCAATTGTTAGAGCTTGGGTAAATTCTCATCCTCAACTAAATGTTGTCTTTGGAAAAGGTATTATAAATGACTTGTTCCACAAGTAGGGTCGCCTGGAACAGGAGAGAAGCTACCCAGCGGTGCACATGACTGTAAACAGGGGCAGCCGCTCACCACATTCTGAAGTGACCACAGCACACAAGGCAACCAGAAAACTGTCATACTCTAAACACAAGCTGGCATAGAGCTAACGCTACAGAGCAGACTTAAGAAGAACAGCTAGGCACAATGACCTCTTTTTGACACATGGGCATTCAGCATCCTCTAAGAATTGTAGGCAGTTAGATAAATAACACTTCTGTGCATTGTGTGCTGGGAAAATTAACACTTTTCTCTCCATGGACCTGTATAACACCACAGAATACATTTTGAAATGTGATTTACTGTGCATCAATAAATAAGTTTAGAAAAATAAAACCGTGGATGACAAGACCAGAAGAAGTAACTGGAGATCATCCGGCCCATGATTCTTCACTGTGCCAAACTGTTTCCATCATCATATAACTTTATCTTATCTCTTTTCTTTAAAGAATTTGGTTGTAAATTTGTTTCAGTAGTGACATTTCGTGCAGATAGATGCAAATGTAGCTTTCGTAAACCGTATTTTGAAAAAAAAAAGTGCCCTAAGAACCATTAATAGGGTGAATATAAAGCCACATTCTTATCATAAAGTCTGTTTCACATCATAAAAGAGATATTACTTCTCCAAGTAGCATAGAATTGTATTTAAAGAAGCTGATTTATAACTATATTTTGTTGGAGGCTAACAAGTCAGGAGTTGACAAAAAAAATTGTTTAGAAGCAATGTTGAATAATGCAAATGAATGCAGAAATATCTTGTGTGCTTAGAAACTTAAAGGACTAGCTGGATATGAGGGACTAAATAATAATATTTAATTTATTAAATAAATCAAAAGTATGCTTGAAACCATAGAGTAGATCTAAAAATCAGTGGTGCTGAGTGAAAGTACAATTAACTGCAGAGCAAGAAGAAAAATGAAATTTGTTATTTCCAAAAAAGAGTTTGGACGTCTTCGTATACAGTTCAGTAAGAGGTCTTCATCTCTCCATGTGGGAAATGTTCCTTTACTTTCTCCAATCTTAATGTTAAAAAGGAAAAGTCAGTGACACCATAGTCTTCTCAGGTTTTGACTACTTCTTCATTAAGTGAAACTCCATGCTAAGAGAGAAAAAGCAGAAAACCCTGTTCTGTGTGTGTGTGCTCCCCAAATCTACCAAAGACTGTTGATGTGGTCCTCGTGAGCTCCATGTGACTCAGCTCAGGGGCTGGTCCAGGTTTATGGACTGTGACCCCAGATCCCAACACGACAAACCACACTGAAAAGGTGTCCTATCGATTTTAATGTATCCAATTGTGCTTTTACATGTTTCTCCACTTAGACATGTTTATATTGTTTACATGCCACAAAAGAGTTATGTGGTATTGATTAAAATGGGGAAACATTGCTTTCTTATAACCCTTGAGACAGATTTTGTCCAGAATATACTGTCAGGAAAAATAGTTATTTCTCACTCATATTTCAGCCTTCCTTAGTCCATTGTGTTTGTTTTCCATGAGCATAACTTAGCCACAAATATCTATGTAACTATCCAATTGTCTGATTCCTTGGGTAAGTAGAAAAAAAAAGGAAAGCTGATAAAATATTTTTACTGTTAAATGTTTCTTACACACAGAAACCACCGTATAGTTTGTAAACTTTCCTGTATGTAACTACTCTCCAATCAGATCAACTTCTTAGGCCATCACAAAAGTATTTAGGGTATTAACTAATGCCCACCTAGGAGAGTAGTTACGTGTTCACAGCTGAAAACAGCGCAGCTCAAGAATTGGTAAGTAGGAGATGACTCAGAATTAGTAAGTAAGGGGAGATGACTCAGTGGTTAATAGTCCTGCATAGGATCTGAGTTCATCTCCCAGCATTATATCAGACAGTTCAAGACTGCTTGTACTTCTACTCCAGGGGACCCGAGACCCTCTAGTGGACCCTACAGTTAACAATACTCATGTGTGTCTATATCCTGACACTAACGTACACACACTTAAAGATATAGTAACTGCATTTAATGGTTACTTCAAGCAGCTGGTAGCAATGTGCTCTAAATGGGTAAGCTAAACCCAAAGTGGCCCTAAAAAACGTCTTGGGTAGAAGGTAAGCATTTATAAGGTACTTAATTGCCTTAGTCTTTGGGCAAAGTATGTAGAACACTCCAGTTTATTCCATAAAACTACTTTTTAAGATGCTTATCAGAGAGAATAAGAAATGTGCACATGGTCACATAGCTAATGTTCTGGGTGGGTTTATCATTGCTCTGATGAAACACAATGACCAAGCAAACAGAAAGGGAAAGGGTTTATTTGGCTTATGCTTCCACATCACAGTTCATCATCAAAGAGAGTCAGAGCAGGAACCCAAACAGGGCAGGAACCTGGGGACAACGGCTGAGGCAGAGGTCCCGGAGGGATGCTCCTCCCTGGCTTGCTCCTCATGGCTTTCTCAGTCTGCTTTCTTACAGAACTCAGGACCACCAGTCCAGCGATGGCACCACCCACAATGGGATGGGCCCTCCCCCATCAAACACTAACTTAAAAGTTCTCTACAGACTTGTTTATAGACAATCTTATGGAGGCATTTTCTCAACTGAGGCTTCCTCCTCTCTGACAACTCTAGCCTGTATCAAGTGGACACAAAAGTAGCCAGCACAGACACTGAGAATCTATTATAGAATTTAAAGTAAGAACCATTCATCCTAATCCATGCTCATATCTTTCATTCACTAATTCATTTCTTGTTCACTTAATCCATATTTACCAGTATGGAAGTCGCTTTACAGTCAAAGGAAAATGCAGTTTGATGCAGGAATTGATAGGCATTTGTGTGATGGTCATGTCTTCAGAGTTTAGCTACAAGGCATTCAGAGGCCTAGCCAGCTTTGTGTAGGTAACTAAATCAAATTCCCAACCACCTTTCTTGACTTCATTGTATGGAATTTCATGTCCAAGAGGGACTCCGTGATGGACTTGTTTCCTACAATCACTATATGACAGACGGGCCACTCTAGCAAGAGATGTGACAACTGCTTGCTTGCTTTCTTGCTTGCTTGCTTGCTTGCTTTCTTTCTTTTCTTCCTTTCCTTTCTTTTCTTCTTTGTTTCCTTTATGTGCAATGGTCCAAGCCATAGTCAGTTGGAACTCTTCTAAAAGGAATTGCAATTCTGAAAGCTTTGACTGTGGGAGGCATTATTTATAGACCTTTGTGGTTTTAAGGGGGAAAAGTAGAGCTTCCAAGGCGGGCACTGCTAGGAAAGCTGCCTTCACTCCACGTTAGCCAAATACTCTCTTCAGCAGGACGTTCTCTCATAATGCCTTATAAAATGTTTCTTTTGTAACCTCTTATTAAGAAAACTGCCAGTTTCTAAACAGACTCTTTCCTAACCCACTATATAAAATCCATGTATCTATTAACAAGAGATTATGTATTGGGCTTTTGGGAGGACATCTTAATAGGAACTGTTTGGCTTTAGTATCAGTGGCCCTTCTGCAAAGACTTTACCACACAGGGCATTGTTTTCATATGTCATAGAAACCCAGGTCTCGCTGCTCCACAGAACCACTCCCTCTCATGCGTGTTCCATGTTTATAGCTTCACCTCTCCAGCTCTCTCACAGCACAGCCTTCTGTCCACGTTCTAGGAAGCAGAAAGGGAATAGGTTAAAATGTCTCAAAATGGAATCAGCACATAACCTTTCAGAGCTCCCACAAAACTTTGGCTCTCAATGGCCAGACTTGGTCACATGGCCACCCCAGCTGCAGAGGAAGTTGAAAGAGGGACCCCTGGACTAAACATGTCATTACCTTCCTTTTTTGGTAGTATCATATGCTAAGAAAAGTGAAAATGGACATTGTACACTGTCCATCTGATCTACTACTTTCCCATACCTTAGGGGTCAAGCAAAGAGGTCTTTGGAATTCTGAGGACACTGTGCTGGAAGTTACAGAGAACATACTGGCAGGGGAGAGACCTAATTCCATGTGAAGGAAGTGCTGAAGGGCAGTAGATACTTACCTTATACAGGGGAAGGCCCTGGCTGAATCTCCACTTGTACAAAGGAAGGGGTTAAACTCATTTTCCATGCACCACCTTCTCTCTGACAGGAAGAGTATGATGGAAACAATCTATGGGGTATGCAGTTTTAAACAACTACCTATTTGAAAAACATGTAAGTTACCTGGTATTGTGCTTCCTGTGTGTTGAATGATAGTTAATGCTCTTATTTTATTGACAAAAATAGAATGTATGAAGGTAAAAAGGGTAGAAATTAATAAAAATATATCCTATGCTTCTTTAAAAATATTTGTTCTCATATACCTATGGAAACTCTATCTTTTCTGATCTTTTTATTTAATTTTGTTTCAGAAGAGCAAGACAGCAACGTAAGGATCAAAACTATAAAGTCTCTGGTAAAAAGTCTCCCTGCACCAAATCATGACACCATGAAGATCCTCTTTGGACATCTGACCAAGTAAGTTATACAACTTTCTGAGTATGTTTTATTATAACTGTTACCAACATGAAGAACATTTAACTTTATGTCTCTAAGACAGGTATCCCCAATGTGTCTATCAGAGCTCTTTACTTCTAGCTGGCCGCAACTTGCCTGCAGAACCTGAACTATACATACTAAAGATAGGAAGAAGAACCAAAAAAGGGAACTTCTGAGGCTTTTGTTTTTCCTGTTTTGTTTTGTTTTGTTTTGTTTTGTTTTGTTTTTTTGACATGGAAATGTTTGCTAAGTGACTCTTAGAACCATTACCAGGGCCCATTATGAGCCATTTTGACATTGCTCTCCAATCTCATGGGATAAACATGAAATGATTCAGGTAGGCATTGAATTACTGCTCCACCATGTACCAAATCCAATGACCAAACTTACATGACTCACATTCTCTGAATTCCACCTTGATAAGGTGCCATTCATGTAGTCAGTTAGAGAGGAGATTTCAGGAGAGAGGGCAAATGCAGGGATCCAGAGGCCCAAATGATTTTGACACCCATGAAAAGCAGAAAGCAGACGTGAAAGGCTAGCATCAATTGAGCAAATGGTGTGGGCTCAGAATCTGAAGTCTTATCACATAGATCCTTGTGGGCTGAGAAAGAACTAGAACCCATGCTAAATACAAAGAAGAGACACTAAAGAGCCTAACCTGTGGCAATACAAAATTGCTCTGGCTGCTGAATGGGGAATAAACTACAAATATGAAAGTGGACATGCCATTAGCTTCAATCGCTAGTAGTCTAGGTAACTGGGAGAAGACTTTTGAAGGGTGGTTATTAACCTGTGGGACATGGCCCCATTTTAGGGGCCAAAAGAACTTTTCACATGGGGGTCAACGAAGACCATTGGAAAACACAGATATTTACATTACAATTCAAAAAGCAGCACAATTACAGTTATGAGTAGACGTGAAAATAATTTTTATGGTTGGTGGTCCCCACAACCTGAAGAACTGTATTAAAGGGCTGCAGCATTAGGAAGATTGAGAACCGCCACTTTAGAGAGAAATGAGTCAAGAAATCTCGCAAGTGGGTCAGGTTGGGTGTGCTGTTGTTTGTGGTATGATGTGGAAAGGAAGGAGAAAACCAAGGGTGCCACTTTGGGTTTCTGCTTAGGCAAGTTGAGAAATGATAGTGTCGCATGCACATATGGGCAAACCTCATAGAAGAACAGCAAAAGCAGGTTTGAAAGCTCTATTTTGGCCATGCTGCATCCGAAGTAACAGTTGCTGCCCTCCATTGACACCTTTAATAAGGCGCAGAGTACGATGCACAAGCTAACATTTGAGCTCTCACTCTACATGCATAGATCGTCAGTGCGCTGCTAGCAGAACAGCGAACCAAAACTGCAGTTGTGCTGTGTGAGATTAAAGTTGCTTCATCACCTGAGTCACTATTTAGAATGAATAATTTCTGAGAACTATTCAAGTCATCCGTTCAATTATTTTTAATTGTGAATGTAATACATGCAACAGCACACAAAATACATAAGTAATCAGCAGTGATGAATATACATTTAAAATGTGAAGCTTGCCTCCCAGTCATTCTTAGCTGGCTGTGCAGAAGTAACAAACATTATTTTATGCATTCTTTCAGACCTGTTTCTAAGCACATGCAAACATATGTCTGTATGTTGCTTCTGGTGCTAGAGCACACATTACTCTGCGACTATTTATAACCCATGCACTGCCTTCCACTCCACTGAACAGAGCCATCTTACCTTTTTGACGAGAAGGCTCCAAGGCTGTTTAGGTCAGCGCTTGCTAAAGTCGTCACCACCTCAGACAACATCCAATAACCTAATGCATTGTGTTAGCTGTTCTCTCAAAGTTCTGAGCATCCTTTCGTGTTAGAATGCAGAAAACAATGGGGGATCTGGGTTCTTAAACGAATAAGAAATGGCAGCATAGAGCCAAATCCTTGGTTTATAGATTGTTTAAGTTATGGCCTCAGACATCTACAGCTATATTAAATAATGTACCATGTCCTGTGGTTATGAGAATTAAGTGATAGAATATACATAAGATGGCTGGCACAAGACTAAGCGTTCTTGGTATGTTATTATTTTTCCTCTCAAGATTTTTTACCCAACATGAAAGAAGCTTTCAAGTTTCAGTCAAAAACTAAATTTCCTAGTAATTCTAAGTGGACAAAGTCAAAAGACAAATCAAAATTACATTATTTAATAAGATACACCCGGTCTTAGAGTTCTTAAGAAATTACTTAATCACAATTATTTCTCTTTTTTTTTTCAACTGAAAGGAAAATAATAATAAGATGAAGGGTGTAAATAAATAAAATAATAAAATAAAGAACCCAAGAACCGGCTAGCTTCTTCAGAAGCACAGTCTGCGTAGGCAGGAGTCTTCTGAGAATCAGCATTCCCTATGCCGAGCCATGTGGTTCCCATGTGAACATGGATCTGATGTCTAAATGGATTTTCTGAATTTCTTTTGTTTAGTTCATTAAAGTTAGAAATGGATATTTTAAATTAAGATTATAGATCAGATGACTATGTTACCTCAAAGCATTCACATTTTGAGATTTATGATTATGGTTAAGCAACAAATGGGTTATTTACCAGCCACCAACCTTTCCTGGGTACTGTGGACATATTCCATACAGCACCAGTTTCTAAACAGGGTTTAATTATGCATAAATATCTATATACGATTATATCTTGTTATGTCATCAAGGATTGAAAGGACTAAATAGAAACTATTTGTTTAACTAGAATTTTAACATATGCATGTCTAAAAGAATCTAAACTGTTTTCTTATTCTTTATTTTTTTTGTGCATTCTTCTGAGACAATGCCGTCAATCTTTGTGTGCCGTGTTTATTACAAAGTGTGTGTGTGTACGTGATTGTTTCTGTGTCTCTGTGTGTGTGTGTCTGTGTGTGTGTACTAGAGATTTGTTAGTGAGAGGGGAAAAACATAATAATTTGTCAAATTCCACTTGATCCCTATACTCTACAGTCAACAGAGAAAGCTACAGTTTCCATAGCTGTGAGTTAAACACTACCCTCAAAACAGAGAAGCTACCAATGAGGAAAGTTTTCTTCAGCACAGCTGGGCTAGAAGATGGAAGGAAATCTTACCATAAAATTCTGAACCTCTCCAGGGCTGATATGAACCTTTACTATACATGATATTTTTCAATGACTGCATAGGCTAACTAGGATCAAAATCCTAAGACCTCATTCTTTTTGAACTCAGAGTCAAAGCCTATGCTGTTTCTCTGTCTGCTCTCACAAAATAGAGGAAAGGATGTCTTCATAAACAATATCAGAAACAGTTTTCACAATTATGCAGCATTTCCATTTCAGACTTTTCTCTATGGAGAACTGCATACTTCTAGGACACAGAAATGAGAGAAGCAAAAATTATGTGGATGTTTCATCTTGAGATCTTAAGATAGGTGACAATTCCTACCATCAGAGCTGGAGACTGAAAGTTCAGTATGAACAGTCATCTGAAAATACTACCATTTGAAACATTTATTCATGGTCACTTTCATGAATTAACATTGCTGAACTTGAACCAGGAAGGTCCTGTGATACCTTCCAAAGCTCCATGTAAGAGCCAAGTGCTATCTCTGTAAAAATATGTCACAGGTGACTAAAGTTAAAGCGAATGGGGAAAAGGGTAAAACAAAATGTCTATTTACTAATGAGTAGAAGCTCCGGATATGGGCCAATTAAAGGGGAAGTAAGAAGCGCAGAATCACTAATGCAAATGCAGAGCACAGTTGCATGATGGACTTTCTGTGGGAGAGTCATCTGGCAGAGATAGGAAGAAAGAAACTGATGATGCCCTATCAATAGGTGCGGGTGGATTTCAGTACTGGAGTGAATTGGACCAAATTTTAAAGGAACAAAGAAAGCAGGCTTCAGAGTCAGGAAAAAATATAATAGTTAGCCAGATTTGCTCTGTGGCTTACTCTTGGGAAAACAAACACAATCTCAGAATTGGGGCTGGGCACAGAAGAACACTTAATCCCCACTTATGTACATATTCTTCAGGGAAAGTAAAAATCTCTTAGAAATTGGTGGTCTTTAGCAATAATTTGAAGGACTGGAGGCTCATACATAAGGCCTTGGGTTCAATCTCCTGCCAAACAAACAAACAAATAAATAAATAATAAATAGTGGAATTCAAGCATGTCTGAAAATATCTTTACAGAAAAATATGTTTCCTGGTGACTTCTAGGTGCGAATAAGCTTTCTTGGAAGAGATTTGCATATTATAAAATAGATTAAAAGGAGGGTTTGAAAAATCTTTCCTTTCGCATTGACTCTAAGAAAATTGCCCAGCTGTTCATAGAATTCCAAGGTGAAAAAAAAATGGTATGATTGAACAGGCAGATCTCATGGAAGCATGCCGGTTGAATGCCATGTTAAAAGGAGAAACTGTTGAGCTGTGTCCACTTTATGAGAGAACTGATATTGAAAGCCTTTGTCGTCTTCATAGAGATTAAATGAAGTATTCTGCAAAAGCATGCCTGAGGCAACTTAAATAATGATGACGTAGAAATAAAAGGGTTGTATGCCGAAGCTGCGGTAAGGAAACAGTTGTATGCCGAAGCTGCGGTAAGGAAACAGTACACCTACCCTGTCTTTAGAATGGCACTGTGGGCTTAGATATGGTTAAACATGAACTTTCAAACCCAGGAGACCTCCTTTTGTCCTCCCTCTGGTCCTCCGGAGTATCGCCAGTGGCTCTTCTACCCAACCACAGCACATGACATCCAAAGATTTGCAGGCTATGGCTATTTTTTTCCTGGAAAATGCCGAACGTATACAAATTGTTATTCCCTCTCTTCCTTCCTCTATGTCTCCATCTGTCTTTCCCTCCCTTGCTCTTTTTCTTTTTCTTTTTTCTTCAGGGGCAAAGGTAGCAAGTTGTTTGAGGTAAGCTGGAAGCATAATGGCTTCTTTGCCTGGGTGTGTGAAACAGTCCTCATCA